CACCTGGAGGAAACCCATGCAGAGTCGCAGACACAGGGAGAACATGTGAACTCTGCTTAGAAACTACCTGTTCTGACCGGGATTCAAACCCAGGACCTTGTTGCTGAGAAACAAAAGTGCTACCCACTCAGCTACCATGCTGTCTTGTTTGAATTGTGGATCAAATGAGAACAAAGACTATAGGATTTATATGTGTATTATTTCCGTGATTCCCCATTGAAAACTTGTGATTTTTGAAAGGCAAAAGTATTTAGGATAAGAGATACGTACATTGTTTCATTTACGTTTCATTTTATTTATTCAGCCCCCCACCAAATCCCTTTTTAAGTTTCCTGATGAATGGTCAAAGATCGACCTAACTTTAAGTAGAGTCCACCTGAGAGGAATTGTAACTCAATAAAATTATGGCAGTTCTGTAATAATATATTATCAGTCACTAAACAGCAGCATAAAGTCCAAAGAAAACACCAGACAGGCAGTGGCGGAGCCAGAGGGGTAGCCAGGGTGGCCACTGCCACCTCTAAAAATATCCTTGCCACCCCCAGTGCCCCCCTCGGAATACGGCAATGTAATAATGTTAATCTTGAGAATCTTCCGCACTTTTTCCGCCAAAAGCTAAAAATTCCCACGGTTTCCCCCGTCTGTGAACGCACCCTGACTCCGTGTGGAGCCGGTGCTGTATGCTAATGCTTTGGGTTGTTGGACTCACATGTGCCCAAGTCGTGATGAAAACAAAGAGGTAAGTTAGCGATGCAGAGCCAACCGTTTACATTTGACACAAAGTATAGACACACGTACTGCAGCGCATTACTTGTTCAGTTTGTAGAACTTTTAGTGTGTGTATGTGTGTGCCTGTGTGCGTGTGTCAGCGTGCCAGTGTGTCTGCGTGCCCGTGTGTGCGTGTCTGTGTGTGCCAGTGTGTGTGTGCGTGCCTGTGTACGTGTGTGCATGCCTGTGTGTATGTGCGTGCCTGTGTGTGCCAGTGTGCGTGCGGGTGTGCATACGGGTGTGCATGCGTGTGTATTTTCCATTATTAATTGCCCATCGTATCATCGCCCTCTTCCCTTTAGTGTAAACATGAAAAGAAAAGGAGGAAACATTGCCTACAGGCCTTTTTTTGTTAGGAAAAGGCTGTAGATCAGGATGATGAAACCTGAAGGTCAGACTCGGAGGCAGTATGTTTTAAGATGATGAGGAATTTGTTGTGTTGTATTAAAATATAGCTTATATAATTGAGTTTCAGAGAATGAGAGGGAGTCGCAGACAGGTGCAGGATTGTCTATTGGCAGAAGGCGTTTTTTCACACACAAAAAAAGAAACAAAATAGCTAAGATTATGGATGATGTGCAGTCGCTTGACCCCAAAATATTTTTGAAAGAAGAGCCCCTGTTTTCATTTGGCAGAACCTTTGAGTCAGATATAGAGGACGAGGTATGAGGTACGTCAAACTAGGCGGCTTCTTGGGAGGAAAAAATGGATTAGAGAGTCCCTATTGGACTTCCTTGTCCTTTTGGAACGTTTGGAAAGTGTTTCATGAGCTTTTGAGGCTTACAAAGATCTTTTTAATACCTGTAAGTACTGCGTCTTGTGAAATAAGTTTCTCTGCCCTAAAAACCATCTCAGAACTGTTATGGCAGATGATTGAGTCATCTTGGAATCCTCAGTGTAGGGTCAAGGAAGGCTCAGGGCTGAATATGGATGAGTTTGTCAACATCTTTGCTGCTTTACACCAGAACCAAAGGATTTTGCTAAATTTGTTAAAAGAAAAATGTAATGCAATGTTTCAATTATGTTATTTTGCACTTTTTTGTTCAGACTACTATTTAAATACACTTTTTTGCTTTGTAGTTTCCAAGTGTGCTCTCAGTTCACTTTATATTAAAAACAATGACAAGATTAAGATTAAAATGTATCGTTTAGCCAGTTTTTGTGTGAAATAAAATTTTGGAATAGTATAAATGTGGACCCCTTAAAAAAACCCTTGCCACCCCCTGGCCACCCTCTGTTTAAAAGTCTGGCTCCGCCACTGCAGACAGGTCAAGGACAAAGTGGTTGAGAAAGTTACAGCTGGTTAAGAAAATATTTCCTGATACAGTAGATGGAAAGAGTTTGGTAGACCAGTGTCACAGTAAGAAAAGTGCAAAAGACTTGAGAATGAGGTTTGTGGGAAGCTTATAGAGAAATACCACAGATGTAAACTTTTTTTTTGGGGTTTTTTTTGTTTAATTTTGCTTTTGGTTGTGGTTGCAAAATGCACATGGGTTTTGAATACTTTATCAGGCTTTACTCTTTACTCACAACTATCACCACAAAATGGTTGGTATTTTAAGTGTCATACATAAAGTCAATGCCCATTGCAAAGTATGTCAATGGTCTCCCTGTAAGTCTTTGATGGGGCCACATAAACTAGAGGCATTACAGACTGTATTCTGTGATGTGTGGGGTAAGTTGGCAGTCACGGCCAGGGCTTGGCTCAGCCTTTAGCTCCATCTTTGTTGTTGATGTGTGCCTGGCCCGCACAGCTAAGGCAATTCATTACGACTCCTACAGTTGACAACACTTAGAACACATGATTAATGCATTCAAAGCTTTTTGCTGAGGGGAAAGAAGAAATTCTCAGTTTATCAAGTTCACCACATCCAGGGTTCAGCCTGGTCCGTATTTGGGGCAATGTATCCACACAGCACAGGGCATAATGGACAAAATGTACAGTATATGAGGCAGCAATTGATTCTGCATCATTCAGAAATATGCAATCATTTTTCATGGTTGTATATTTTTTGTGCTGTCAAACGATTTAAATAGTTGCAAAAAATCACATCTAATCACATATTTCCCTCTTCTAAAAGTCCCTTGATTTGGTTTGAAAAGGAATTGGACGAAGCAAAAAGCTTATTTTAATCCAATCCCCTTCAAAAAGTATTTGGATTGTGTAATATACTGTAGACCACTCAAATGCTTTTGTTATTGCTTTTTACAGTGTCTAGAACTATCTGTCATCGTAGAGTTGACTTGAATTGTCTAATGAAGGCTCCTCTTTTGATTGTTTTACAGTGTATATGACTGTCACACGAAATAGTCATGGTTTCTGATGTCCAGTTATCAGCAGTGAGTGCGACCGCTTTTGTTTTCTCCAGCACCTGCTGTACCTCACTTCCCCAACACAGTGCAAGTTTTGAAGCGGAAAGCCTCGCTCAGCATGTTGTTGTGCCGCACGGCCAGGCCCTCACATGTTTGTGCTGCTGTTAACAACTCATTTAACTGACAGCACTAAAGTTTTTTATTTTTCATGTATTTGGTTATTCTGCCAACCCCCTTTCCATTCGTTGTATGTTATTGTATTATTCTGTTGTCAAATTAAGTTAATTCTGGTTTTTGGAAAAAAAAACAAATGAATGATGAAAATGAATCATCCAGAAAGTATGTCCAGAAATTGTGTAACCCACATCTTCACAGTCTTTCTGAATGTGTTCTTAGGTTTTTTAAATTATATATATTTGTATGTTTTTTTTCCTTTGTGCTAAATTAAAGTAACATTCTCCAGCCTTCAGGAATAAAATGGCCATATATTTTTGTATGTTTAAAGCCCATACAAAACTTTACAATCATGACCAACCTTGAGAATCGTGTGACAAGCGTTCAAGCGTTTATTATGTCTCCTATAAACAGCATTCTGACCTGTTTGACATTGTGTGCGTGCCCAAAACTCTTGTGTAAATCGCCGACACTAAAAGCAGGACTCACAGAAGCCCTCAGTGATGTGGACTTGATAACAGCTTGACGTTTTCCAGTGTGGCTGAATTGGCAGCTTTGTTTATTTTAGCCTCCTCAGCTCCACGTGCCGCTGTGTTCTGTGTCCTCTGTGGCCAAAGGACACTTGTTCACTGCTCGTGTGACGAAAGTGACCATCGTTCAAAAACCGAACGCACAGGTCTTCACTGTCTTGTGCAATTTTATTAGATATAATTTAAAAGCATAATAGACAAGTTGGTTAAAGTTAAAACAATTTTAACTACTTTTTACGCCAAAGTATCTATTGTCTTCTTAGTTAAAGGTATATTTGAAGCTATCATATATATTTATTTTTACGTTTATATAATTTGACCAAAAGAGTACTTTTATTTAACAATGTTTTTTGGATATTAGTCAAGTTTTGTTTTGATTAAACCAAAACTGGACCAACATTAGAGAAGAATGGAAGAAGGATTGTTATATTGTTAGGGAACTATTGTATACATTAAATGTTGTTGTGTATAATCTTACAAATAATACTTCCTAACAAATACTCTTTCAAAAGATGTACAGCACATACAGTATTAACTCCTGATCATTGAGAGTGGAAAATTTGGCACCATTTTGGTCATCAGCGGTAAAGACAGAGCTTTTTTTTTTTTAGCATTTTAAAGCTTTGATTATTTATGTTGTTTTCCACAAAGGCAAAGAAGCTTAAGATGGTAGATCTTTGAAGCATCGTGATTATTGACTATACAGCATCAATGTGAAATACATTGATATGTATTACATGCCCTTGTGACGTACACAACCATTAAACTATTATGTTTGGCTCTCAACAAAAAATAGATGATATGAATGACAGGGGAATCTATAATGTTGCTCAATTACTGGGAGCTCTTTCACCGTGCGTGTGTAGAAGTACACCACATGGATCGATTGAACTCTAACAACGTGAAGGTCAAGTCTTAAATAATTCTGGAGTCAAGCAATTATCATTGATGAAGACACAGTTGTATATTGACGCAAGGATTCCAATTGTTATAATACACTTACAAACATGCACTATTCTCTTACGTTACACTCAGCCTGACACATAATGTGTTGAGTGGGCGTAGGAAGAAAGGGACAGAATTAGAACGGAGGATTGAGGGAGGGGGTTCCCTCAGCTACAGGGCAACATAAATAAACCAGTGTGTTATGGTGATGGGGTAGTGTAGTCAAAGAGGAATCACAGACTATACAATTACAATGAAGTAAATACTCACCATTTGGAAGTTTACGGCTGTTTTCCATGAGCCAGGTGAACAGGTTTGCAAAATTACAGTTACAAACCCAAGGGTTTCCCTCCAGCCTAACAACTCTCAGGGAGGGTAGCTGGTTCAGTGCCCCCACTTTTAAGGTGGATAATGCATTCCGCTCCAGTTCTAGTTCTCTTAAAGAGGTGAGACCAAGGAAAGCGTCCTCACTGACCATGCTCAGAAAAGGGTTGTTTCCGAGTCTGAGTTTGATCAAGCTACGGGACTCCCCAAAAGTGCCTTGTGGGATCTCAGTCAAATTATTACTACCCAAGTCCAGGAAGACCAGCCTGGAGGAAGTACTTAATGTCCCAGGTTCAATCTGGGACAGAGAGTTGTTCCGGAGGTCCAAATAGACTAAGTCGCTGTACAGAACTAGAAAGTCTGAGGGAATACGTAGAATCCAGTTGTCGGCGAGCAAAAGACGACGGACATCCAGAGGAATCTCTTCAGGAAGACGGGTGAGTCCACGGCCGCTGCAGTCTACAGTGTGAGGGTCTGGGCACAAGCAGCTGGAGGGGCAATTGTCTGCCCGTGACCAGAACACAGAGGACAGTGAGAGAAGGATCAGCCGCAGCCAACAAATGCATGGCAACATGGTCAGGGGCACGAAGACTGGGGGAAGGGTAGGTTCAGGGCAAGGATCAACAGAATGTTCAGGGTAAGTCGGGTGAGACACAAGAGGGAAGGGTCAGAGGGCAAGAGGGAAAGGGGAGGGAGGAGTGAAGTCGATCAATCTTGAATCAGAAACATTGTGATGTCACAGCAAACAACAGGGAGATCAGGACCATGTAGTGTATTAGGAAATCATGTAACAGGCGGAATCTTGAAACAGACTGAGACACAGGAGGATGAAGAGGGAGAGAGGGACATAAACAGACTCAACAGACTGATGATGTGAGCCTGGGGCAAACACGAAGGACAGGGGAGAGGAGGGGGTCTGTCAGCCACACGCTACACCACGAATGACCCGACAGCACGGATCGACAAAGACAATAAAGTCTCTGGGAGAAAATGAGAACCAGACATGCGGTTTAGGCATGCCAAGGCAAAAACATCAAGGCAGCATCCCTCCACTGAGTCCCAGTGTGTGCGTAGCCAGTCCAGAAGCTGTAAAATTACACCCCACAGAAGCCCACGCTACATCGCTTAAGTGTGTGGTAAGGTTATCCCCCCTGATTATTGCTTGGCCGTCTCCTGATGTCTCGCCACATGCTGAGAACAATGCGCTCCGTCGTCCAGCCGCGTGTCAGAGCAGTGTCGCTGAGGAGAAAGGATCCAGTCGTGCACAGAGCAGAGCGGAGCTGCACTCAGCCATGCCAATCTCTCCACTGCCTCTGAAGCTTCCACTCTCATGCCCTCTCTCTTCTATTTCCAAGGGGGCGGGTCAGATTCACCCTGTCAACATGTGATGTCACTTCCTAGTGTGAGAACAAAAACAGTTATTCCATCATTATATATTTTAATGACGATAGCGACGGTGATTCAGCAAGAGATTTGTCCCTTCAGCCATATGTTTTCCATGACGCTGTGTTGCATGTGAATTGTATTGTGTTGGTGTAATTTTCCTCTACCGTGTTCTGTGTATGTGACTGTGTCTGTGTAAATTAATTTCACTCAGGGGACAATAAAGGTCTATTTATCTTGACCCTGATATGGCTACACTACAGGTCTGTGAAAAAATAATCACTGGAGAAATTATACAAAATGAAAGATTCACATTATTGCTTGAATTGAGTGGTTTTTGAGTACATTCTGTACATACAGTCTTGAAACAAAATTTGCCAAAAGGACAAAGCCGTTTTGTCTTACTACACAAACTGTTGCTATTTTTTCTTATTCCAAGGGAGACATACAACAATATACTTACATTTTTGACTTATACAAATATTCAGTGATACTACTACGATTTTGGTTGTCCCTCAAAATTTAGAGAGGCATATAAAAAAAAAAAAGTCCTATATTTTATATCAATCATCAGCAGTCTCTGAATAACAATCATACTGAACTGTTTTCATCTAGGTCACCTTTACTGAAAAAAAAATAAAACAGAATAGAAATGCGTATTTATAGACGCACGCAGACACATCTGTCATGTTACTTCTGCTTAAACACACACAGGTGCACTCAGGAGCTTAAAAGAAAGATGATTGGTTAATAGAAAACATGCATTAAGTGTCCCAAATGGGATTTGCTCCAACAGCTAAATGCAATTAGACAGAGACAGTTGCAGGGAGATTGAGAATGAGTCTAGGAGACGCAAGGTTATGTTACGCATAAAATTTCCAATGAAGCGTGTACCCTCATTGTGCAACATCGGCAGTATATGGACAAAAAAAAGAGAAAGAGTATAAGTGGTCCTGTTTCAAAAAGGAGGAAGGACCCGAAATACGGTACAATACTGCAAAAACCATAATTTAATAAAGAAAAATCCTAAAACGACATTGATTGTATAAAAGGAGCTGGGGACAAAGAATAATTTAGGAAGAAACACACCATGGACTGACAACAAGAGGGAAAGAGCACAGGGCATTTAAATGGGAGACATAGGTTAAACACATCAGGGGCCGTGGCAGCTGATCGTCAAAACAGGAAGTAAAACTCAAAAACACACAGGAGAGACACAATACAAGAAAAATAAACAATAAAAAGGGACCACGATGACATATGGATGTGTTGAAAAATGAGACAGAGGAAGCAGATCAGAATCATTTATTTGCCATTTGCAGTAAAACCACATTGAAATACACCCGCAAAAGTCCCCTGAGTGCACAAGAGAAGTACACAAATAAAACAAGGTTAAAAAAAAACATAAAACAGGAAGCAAGCAGCAAGTTCTTCCAGGTAGAACATAAGACGACAATGCTTTTAAAAAAAATAATGTGTATCAATGTGCATAAGAACATAGACGTCATCCTTGAGATATTATTGGTGTTGATGCTTGAGATATTGATACTAGTAGCAATAGGGGTCATAACAAATACCCTCTGCTCAATGCAGATACAACAGAGGTCCAAAGTCAAAAACATGCAGGTCAGATGTTTATAGGGAGGCGGAAATGAAAGGAGTTACTAACTTTAGATTTTGATGCTGACGTGCGGCACTCTTACCTCTTTTACTTCTTTGAGTGAGTGGAGAAGCCAAACAGTGTTCAATGTTACTCACAGAATATAATCATTTACCTGATGTTCCTTATAAATATTACAGTCATGCACCTTTTTCACTTTTCTTCACACACTTCCTCCACGAGCTGCTGTTTAACTGTTGCGCTATTCACGTTGAGACTAGGTGTGAGATGGCACCGGCATTAGCGACCTCATGTGTGACTTTCTCTGTTCAAATTATACTTGAACTTTAGACAAGATTCATATGAGTTTGGAATCACTGTTAGCGTCTGACTACTGTATTTCCCGTTCCCTATTTTTAGTTGACCTATATCTTTCACTTCTGGAGGACTGGCACTACATTGGGGGAATAAATATGTGCTACTGATTACATAGGATCATAGGCCCAGTTTATATAGAAACACAGTCAGGAATTTGCACCAAAAAAAAAAGTCGTTCCGGATTTGGAGTGTCTACACGGCATGTCTTGACTTTGTCTGCCTGAGTGAAAAATGATGTAGTTCTAGCGCCCGGCCAGTAGTGGGCAGTGGAACTTTGCAACGCTACACCCAACCACTTCCTCAACAACATCCTCCTCAGGCCTGTGGAAAGCTGGAAAAGAATCCACCAACATCAGTTTGCATTTAACAGCAGCAAAAATGTAAACTGCAACTACAGCTTTGGTGGTTTTGTTTGGACGAACAAAGAAGTGTGACCACAAAATGTAATCTGTTGCCAGTGTTGTTTATGTTGGTTCTGGCTACTGTGCATGTCCGCAAGTATGGGTGGGGAGGGTGAGGAGGTGAGGTCATCGCAGCCAGAGAGTTTGCCCCTTCTTGTTCAAGTACTTTTTTTATCCTAACTTGAGTACATTCTGACTATCTTAAAGTTGCTTTACCTCACTTTATTTTTGTATTAATTATGAAAATTCAATTCATATCCATGCAGTGCATTTGGATATACGTCCTTTTGAAGAAAAAGTAGCGCAGGTTTGAGCTGGCGTGTCATTTTATTTTAGATTGAGTTTTTGTGCAACAAGGAAGAACATTTGTTTCGGGACCAGATTGTGACCAATCACAGCGGACCACTGCCCCCCATTTTCTTGAGAAAATCTACAGGTCTCTCGTTAGCACAGACAGATGAGGAAAACAAGCGGCGGAGGCTAACCTGAAACTTGCCTTGTCTTCGTTACCGGTTACTGCTTACACAGCGAAACAGCCATCCAAAAGAGAGTCTTGTTTCCATCCACGTTCAAATGTGCGATCCATATTGTAAGACGTGAGCTCTGTAAACACATGAGTACAGGCTGAGTGGGGGGGATAGCTTTGTGAGTGCGGGGAGGGCGAGCAGAAAGAGCGAGGCCAGCGCTCACATTCGAAAATGTCACAGAGTGAGTTAGTGCAGCTTTAATTTGCCGATGGGACAGAATTATTTACCATTGCTTTATTTTCTCGTTCCAAGGGAGACATTTCTTTTAACTTTTTAAAACAAGATAATTATGCTTGTCCCATTGGCAAATCTTTTTAAGGCAGTTAACATGTGCTTGAATTTAGATACATTTTGCCAAATTTGTGCAATTATATACTCATTTTCTATCACTTTTTGTAGTACAGTGTTGTCCCATCCTGGATTTCAAAGCTTGCCTCTTCAACCCCCTGAAACACCAACGCCATATGAACAAAAGGCCATTTTTTTAGTCAACATTGTCTCAGTGTACACAGGCCATAGGTTCCTCTGGGTGCTCCAGTTTCCCCCACAATAGGTATGATTGTGTGATTGAGTGAATGGTAATGGTCCGTGTCTTGCTGCTGTCATCACTGTGTGTGGAGCGAATGGAAAAATATCTGTACTCCCTAAATATTGTAAAGCGCTTTATGTGACCTTGGTCTGTGAAATAAGCGAGATAAAACTGCCCCGCTTCTGTCAACGCATTAATGGGGGAAGGTGCTGCAAAAAGACACTGAGAATGGAGAAGGATCACATTAGGATGCATTTAGAGCAGTAGCACATGTCTGAAGACTTATCTCTAAAGGGAGAAAGTGTGCGTCTGATGAACCATGGTATACTTTATGAATCAATGCCTTCTCTAGTAATTCCAACATCAGCCAATATACTAGCCTGGTTGTACCACACCATAGTACAAATTACATTTCGTACTATGGTCTGGATGTGCTCCATTCAGCTCCATTAACAGGTGGGAGGGGTTAACTCCTTTTGCAGATTGCAACGATTGGAGCTGAGTTCACCGTGAGGTATGTAATGCCCACGGGTGAGTTGTTAGCATTTAGCATTTAGCCTAGCCATCTCCTTTGCCACTAACGGAGCCTGTGGGGAGTAGCTAGGGTTGTCAACCGTCCCTTGAAATACGGAATTGTCCCGTATTATAGAAAAACTGTGTGCGTCCCGTATTGAATCGATACAGGATGGCTTCTGTCCCGTATTTTCAGAGCCACCTTAAATGCATCACTCACTCACTGCATGTCACAGGCGCGAC